CCCGCGGGCTCAGGCAATCCACTCACCTCAGCCTCCTAAAGGCACAGGATTACCGGCTGAGCCACCGAGCCCGGCCACATTTCTTTAATAAATAAAAAAAATCAGCCAGCTTGTCGATGCACACCTGTAGCTCCAGCTACTTGGAAGGTTGAGGTGGAAAGATCACCTGAGCCCAGCAGGTCAAGACTGCGGTGGCTGTGATGGTGCCACTGCACTCCAGCCTGGGCAACAGACTCCAACATAAAAAGAAAAGAAAAGAAAAGAAAAGAACCAGTTGGCCATTAGTTTTAAATATGTAATCTTACACCAAAGCTGAAAAGTACATTTTACATAACTGACGGCTGCTGTTTTTGTTAGTTATTAGCATATACAACTGTTTCAACCCTTTTGCTTTCCATTTAAAAGGTTTTTCTAACTCCTGTTTATATTATTTACAAAATAATTGTAAGTGCAATGTAGCCTTTAAAACAAGAATAATTCTAAGGTAAAATATGACCGAAAGTTACCATCTGAGCTCATATAATATTACATTTTAAACAGGCAGGGCACCAAAAATATTCCCTGATATGAAAGGTAAGGTGTGAAAAATTTAAATAAAGAAACCTAAGTATTAGGTGAAAATTTTGAACCAAATGGAAGATATGTAATAGTTAATTGTACAATTCATTTAACATAACCAGAAGTGAAACTCACAAGTAGTCTAATTTGTTGCCTGACAAAATATTCAGGGAAATCAGTTATGTCACATCACCTCAGAGTGTCCTTTTGTGGATTCTTTGCCATTTCATGTCCACACTTGATGTGCATATTACCCCGAGTTTCCCCATCCTCATCTTGCTTTTGTTCTGCTGAGAATATAGAAGCAATCTACAGAGAACATCCACAACTTTCCATCTCTACATCCCTATCTACCTGCATCCACACCCATACATCCTGCCTTTTCTAGTGTTACGAAGGCACTATCTGTGCTGAGAGAAAACTACCTCCTCTATTTGTACACAAGATCTTCTAGACGACATTCCCCCATCTCTCATCTGCATCGTAACATTTTACCCACCAGACCAGATCATTTCCATTAGCATGAAACATGCTGTACTTTTTCCCTTCTTAAAAAAAAATAGCCGGGCTCGGTGGCTCAGCCTGTAATCCCCCGCCTTGGGAGGCCGAGGTGAGTGGATTGCCTGAGCCCGCAGGTTCAAGACGCGCCTGGGCAACTTGGCAAAAACTCATCTCTACAATAAATAAAAAATCAGCCGGGCGTGGTAGCGCGTGCCTGTAGTTCCAGCTACTTGGAAGGCTGAGGCGGAAGGATCGCCGGAACCCAGCAGGTCGAGGCTGCGGTGGCCGGGAACGGCCACTTGCACTCCAGTCTGGGTGACAGAGTGAGACTTCAACTCAAAAAATAAAATAAAATACAAATACAAATAAAACCAACAAAACCCTCTCTTGACTCCACATTCTCCTCCTTCTACTGCCCCATTTCTCTGCTCCTCTTTATAGCAAAATTCTTCAATAAAATTGTCCATTATTACTGATACGTATTATTTTCCCATTCTCTCCTAAACCTACCTGAAATAGAATTTGATCCCCTTATCATCGTCATCAATACCTCCCAGCTGCTAAATCCAATGGTCAACTGTCAGTCTTCCTGTCACCTGACCCATCAGCAGCATGTGTCACAGGGACATCAGTTCTGCACTAAAACAATCTCTTCCTGTTTTCCAGAATACATGCTCTTCTGGTTTTCCTGCTCCCTTGCCTGTACTCGTTCCTTATTTCCTCAGCCTCTAAATCACAGTGATGCAGGGCTTGGTCTTCAAGTCATTTTCTCTTCTAAACCTACACTCACTCCCTTTGTAATTTTGTCCAGGCTGTGACTTAAAATATCACTGACAGGTTGACAACCTCCAGATTTATATCTCCTGTCCAGACTTCTCCCTTGAACACCAACTTCTGTTACCTAGTTGATCAAATCTGTTCCTTCCACAATCTCCTCCATCTTAGAAAATGGAAGCTCCACCCTCCCAGTTGTTATGGTCAAAAGCGAGTGTCACCCTTGACCTGACACATCTCACACCCAACCAGTCAAAACAATCCTACCTTCAAACATAACCAAATGTGACCACTTCATACCACCTCCACTGCCACCAGCCTAATCGAAGCAATTTTTAGCTTTTACTTGGATTAAAGTAACAGCTCCCCAACTGGTCTCCCTGTTCCTACCCTTGTCCTCTCCCCCACATAATTATCAGCACAGAAGCAGGAAAAATTTTTTTAAAACTTAAAATCAGCTGAGAGTGGTGGCTCATATCTGTAATCCCAGCACTTTGAGAGGCAGAGGTAAGAAATGCCTGAATCCAGGGATTTGAGATCAGCCTGACAACGTGGTGAGGCCTCGTCTCTACAATAAACCAAAAAACTAGCTAGGGCATTAGCCAAGGCATGGTGGTACCACAGCCGAGGCTGAGGCAGAAGGATCACCTGAGCCCAAGAGGTCGAGGCTGCGATGGCCGTAAACATGCCACTGCACAACCGAGTAAGACTCTGACTCTAAATAAATAAATAGGTATGATGATGTCCCTCCTCTGCTCAAAGCTCTTCAAGAATGACTCCCCAAGTCCAAGTCCTCATATTTGAAGCCAAAAATCCTTACAAAGACCTTGACTAAATGAGACCATATCTTCTAAAGCCTCTAGCATGGTGTCTCTAACAAGTACAAAGTGTGCTTGGCTAATGACAATGCCCTTCAACCAACCAGGGCTTCCCACTCAAAGATGGGGGTGGGGGTGGGGAAGGCAGCACAGGTCTCTAGAGAGCCAAACACATTTTCTCAATAATACTAAGATGTTATTTGTCTTTTCTGCTCTCATATGTGTACAGTTGAGTGTTCCAGAGGCTTCCTTACAGGCAACAATGCCACTGCTCTCACCAATGATGAAATATGTACTTGTACGTTCTTGTGTTTTCCAGAATTTTCTAGGATAATAGGTATAAGGTACAAATATGTTCATTTTCAGAGATAAACTCAGTTTAATCTCAGTTCTATGCTCTTACTGGCTACTGTCAGTTATTCCTGCTCTAATTTCTTTAACCTGAATACTGTCCAACATATCACTAATTTCAAATTCTTAACTTTGGCTTTAGTCCACATGAAAAACACAAGCAGGGGGCAGGGGGAGGTAGGGGATAGGGGCACGAAGCATCACAAAGTGAGGGGAAGTAAGGGTCAGCTGGAGGTCCAAACTTCACCTGCACAAAGCCTGCTTGTGTTACTAATCCTGACTTGTACCCCACATATCTATTGTTTAAAAAAGACAAAGAAGCCGGGCTCAGTGGCTCAGCCTGTAATCCCAGCACTTTGGGAGGCTGAGGTGAGTGGATTGCCTGTGCCTGCGGGTTCAAGACCCGCCTGGGCAACTTGGCGAGACCTCATCTCCACAATAAGTCAAAAATTAGCTGGGCGTGGTAGCGCGCGCCTATAGTTCCAGCTACTTGGAAGGCTGAAGCGGAAGGATCGCCGGAGCCCAGTAGGTCGAGGCTGCGGTGGCCAGTAGCCATTGCACTCCAGTCTGGGTGACAGAGTGAGACTCCAACTCAAAAAATAAAATAAAATAAAATAAAATAAAATAATATGTACATAACTTTTATAATTAAGACTGGATCACTGCCTTAAGAAAAGAAGATAAAAAATGCTTTCTCAACCCACAGCTACCCTATCCCTGTCTAAAGATGCTGGTAAAGGTGAAATCGACCATATCATTAAGTTATCTGATTAATGAAAGAGAAGAATCTACTTCAGGGAAAATGAATGAAACTGTATAAAGAAACAGAAAGCTGATGGAAGCTATCTTTCCCCCTTAGCCTTATAGATGTTAATAATTTACTGTACTTTGTCTTATGCAACAAAACATTTTCTAATGTTATTATGGTGCCATTTTCTAACATTGTTATTGAAACGTCATTCTGAGACTAATTAAAGTTAAAAAAAAGAAAAAAGAATTGAATATTTTAAACATAGTCATGATGAGTTATTAAAAGTTACAAATTGTGGCTGGGGATGGTGGCTCACATCTGTAATCTCAGCACTTTGGAAGCCTGAGGTGAAAGGGTTGCTTGAGCCAGGAGTTCAACATTCTAGACAACATAGTGAGACCTCATCTCTACAAATGGTGGTGGCACGCATCTGTAGTCCCAGTTACTTGGGAGGCTGAAGCAGAAGACCATCTGAGCCCAGGAGGTCAAGGATGCAGTGAGCCGTGACCATCGTGCCACTGCACTCTAGCCTGGGCAAGACAGTAAAATTCTGATTCAAAAAAACAAACAAGCTGGGCACGGTGGCTCATGCCTATAATCTCAGCACTTTGTGAGGTGAAGGTGAGAGGTTGCCTGAGCCCAAGGGCTTGAGACCATCCTGGGCAACTTGATGAGAACTGGTCTCTATAATAAATAAATAAACAAATAGCCAAATGTGGTG